CAGGACCTCGGCTCTCCTGAGCCTGGAGGTGGGGGTTGCTCATGGTCTCTGCAAGTCACAGACTGCGGGCACATTCCTGGGGGTTCTGAGCAGATAAGCAGGAGTTGGTAAAAGAAAATGCTGCAGAAGGTTCTCTCAAGGGGCACCCGGCCTTTGAGGGTGAAGGAATCCAGGCACCGGGATGGCTCTGCCCTACTTGTACCTGCTTCCTGCTTAGAACCTTGGCCACCCATGTCATTGACACCTGTGGAAATCAGCACGCTGACCTCCACTCCAGAGTTCCAGAGGATGGACAAGGAGAGGAGCTGGTGCCCACATGTGGGCCTTGGTGTTAGCAGACAGAGGGTGGGGCACCTGGGGAAAGGCTGATTTGGCTGAGGAGCCCCATTCCAAGTCTCTGCTCAGAGTCACTCTTTGCCAACCAAGATTAAAGCGTCTGCTAAAACAAGGGGTGACTCTCTCATAATCAAAGTATCATTGATGGGACCCTCAGCAGGGCACAAGCTCCTGATGAGATACAGTAATAACAGCAATGGAAATGCTCACACTGGGAATGTGTCTCTAAAGGGCCAAAGGCTTGTGCTTATCTAAAGCGCCAGCACCCACGTGGGGCGAGGACTTACAGCCTTCATTGTAGAGGTAGGCGACGCCCAGCTTCACAGCAGCTTCAAAATTTCCCTTTTCAGCAGCCCTAAAACATAAAGAACATAAAACATCACACTATTTTATGCCAAGAGATCACATACCACCACAGCACCTGAAGCTGGAATACTTGTTTTCTGAATAGAACGCTTTTTTACATAACGTAGACAAATATCAATTATCCACCACATGCTGCAACATGGATGAACCATGCAAACATTAGCCTAAGTGAAAGAAACTGGCCACAGAAAACCATGTCACGTATGATTCCATTTATATGAAATGTCCAGAATAGGGAAATCCATAGAGACAGAAAATTGATTAGAGATTGCCTGGGGATTTGGGGATTATGAGGAAAATGGGGAGTGACTGCTAATGGGCACAATTTTTCTTGCTGGGGCAATGAGAATGTTCTAGTTAGATAGTTGTGATGTTTGCACAACTCTGAATATAACAAAAACCACCGAATTGTACACTTTAAGTGGGTGAAATGTATGAGTGGATTATGTCAATAAGACATATTTATCCAGAAGCAGCTTGGGCAAGGCCAAGGCAGTGTGGCCAGCCTGCACCTGTTGGCTATCTATTGGGACTTTGGACAACTGAGGTGGATGAGGGCCAGAGTGGACCTTGTCAGGAAAACCCTCTCCCAAATTGTGGTTTTTTAGTTTGAAAGGAGGCTCCAGCTAAGCCTGGTTCCCAGGGCGGCTGACCTGCGACTGTTAGCACACTTGGAGGGTGGGCCTGGTTGCTGTCTCACGGGTCACAGGCCTGGCACCCCCTCTGGCCCTCCATTTGGGTCCTGACTCTGGCAGGGGGGTGGGATCAGCCAGTTGGTGAGATGCAACAGAATTGAAATCACATGGCTTTGACCAAAGGAAATGGCTGTTTCCACACACAGGTGACTCATGTTTGAGTCACGTGGGAATGGGTCACAGCCCAAGGAGACCCTCGGGAAGCACTGCGGGCCTGTGTCAGCCATGTGGAAGGCGACTGATGACGTGGCCTGCTGGAGGTCATGTGGCTCAGTGGGTGAGGTCTACGGCCCTTGTTCACGTCCTGGGAGTGAGGCAATGGGAGACAGCGATAGGGAAACATTGCCAAATCAGGCCTTGTGACACAGGCTGGAACACCAGGAGGCCCAAGGGCAGGAGAAATCCAAGCCATTCTCAGAGTGCAGAGATACCTTTCAAAGAGCTTCAGGTTCTTTGGTGAAGGCCATAGCTCTTGGAAGCTGGCACACGCCCACACGCTGGCATGGCTATCCACCAGGTACTTCAGGTGGGAGTGCACCTACAGAACAATGGGAGCCAGTGGTGGATTACCGAGGGACCACCTGTAAACCGTGCTCCTCAAGGCTCTTGAAGTCAGGACGCAGACAGATGTAGGGTCCGTCTCCCTCCCGGTCTCAAGTAGTAAAAGACCCTGGTCTCTGTATAAAAGCAACAGTTGCCTTGAATAGAGAAAAGAGCCCCAAAATGAGTTTCTCTGAAGTTCTAAGGAGTGGGGAGGGTGTGGGCAGTGGTCCTAAAAGTGGGGAACAAGCACCTGGGTTGAGAAAGAGGGCATGGAACCTCTGCTAAGGTATATACCTGCAAGGACTGGGGAAACTGATTCTAAATGGGGGCAGGTAGGACAGAAATGTTTCATGCTTCTCTACCTCAGCTTTTGCTGGCAGGAGCGTGGCCTGGAACCTGGAGGTCACAGGGACTCAAGGAAAAGACTGACACTGTGATGGCAGACTCAGGTAGGACCTGGACCCTCTGCTCTGAACAGACAAAGGAAGTGCCCAGGCCAGGACCCTGAGCACACGTGAGCATTTTAAGCGCTATAGTTTCCACTGCCATTGGAAATTCAGCACCCCATTGGTTCCGTAAAGCGTATTATATCTGCCATAGAGGTGGCTTTGAGAGTCAGGAAATGGGTTCTTGGAGTTTTCCTACTAAGTTGCTATATACCCTAGGTTAAGTCACTCAAAGTGAGGCTGTGGTTTCAATATGCATAAAATAACTCTGAGAGTTCATTTCAGTGTTGAATGTTACATAGGATTTGTCCTCAAGAATATATTGTTATTCTTTTTAATACTACCTTATTTCTTAAGGGATGGAAATTTCACTGCCATAAACGTGTACTTTCTGGGCCGGCCCGGTGGCGCACTGGATAGTGCGCCGCTTGGGAAGCGCGGCGGCGCTCCCACCCGAGGGTTCGGATCCCACATACAGACCGGTTCCCGCTCACTGGCTGAGCGAGGCGCGGGAGCAACACCGAGGGTTGCAATCCCGTTGCCGGTCCCCGGCCCGGTACGGGGGCAACACTGAGGGTTGCGATCCGTTGCCGGACATGGAAAAAGACAAAAAACAAACAAACAAACAAACAAACAAACAAACAAACAAAAAAACCGTGTACTTTCTTTGTTGAAATAAACATTGCAGTGAACCGAGTCAAACCTTAGTGTCCTGTTCCTGTAACTGCAACATTTTCAAGCATCTATTATCCTTATTTCCTTTGCCCTTCTTTGTAGCCAAAGTTTTGTTCTGACGTTTAAAAACACGAGGTCTTTATAGTCAACAATGCTACAACTGACACTGTTTTCATCTGGTCACTTACAGCTCGGATAGCAAGGATGTCCTGAACCGAAAGCCATTTCAGAATGTGAAAGAGCACATCTTCAGGGAGGCTCAAGATGGTTAGGTTTCGGGGTCTCCTTCTTATTCTTCGCTTTGTAGGATAACAGAAACACTTGGCACACCTACAGTGGATCACTTAAAGAAAAAGAAACCAGAAGTCTCGATGAGATGCAAAGTTATATCTGAAAATTACTTAACAGTTACTGTCCCCTGCTCCACAAAAGAACTAACTATATTTCTAGTCCCAAACAAAAATTAAAGGAGTAACGTACAAATTACAGCAGACATCATCATTCGTTCAAATATTCAACAAGTATTTATGGCGAAGAGCAGGTGTCATGTAACTTGGCTAAGGAGCAACTTTCTGATCCAGAGCTCACAAGACAACCACAAAGGAAAAAGCAGCCAGCTCTGAGGACAGCTTTCCTTGTACTTCACTGGGACCTTTGCTGGAACTTTGCTTCTTTTTGCACATAGACCAAAAAGCATAATATTCAAGAAGGATCAGTGGGCTTGAACAATCTGGTTTTCGAGTCTAAATTAGGAGGGTCAGCCCTGCAGAGAGCAAAGGATTTGGAGGCTAGGTCAGTCCGTGTCAGAGTCTCAGCTCTGCAGAGCTGCCCAGCCCGAATCTTAGTGTCCTCTGTAAAATGGGGAGTTGACAGCTACTCAGTGAGGTGGAGGTTCGGGTCAGAACACAAACCCTAGATCCACACAGGAGCCATCATTAAAGGTGAGACGGGCCCCTCACCCACAAGGCCGCTCTTCTCAGAAGAGCTCTCTCCTTTCCCACAGGGGGTCTTTCCAATTTATACTCCAGCAATCCCTTCCTCATTCTAAGCAGATGACCTTACCCTTTATTACAAGTCCTCAGAGAGGAACCTCAAAGTCCTGCCTCCCCATCTGCAAATTCACCTGTCTTTCTACCCATTCTTCCTTACTGTCCTGATAGAAAGCAGCGGCTCTTTACTGTACAGGAATCCTTCCTGGGGACTTCTCCAGCGGTTGCCCCCCCACCCCCCTTGACCTGGGTCCTCCTATCAGCAATTAAATGTGCTGCAAAAGCCAAACGTGTATCCTGAGCGACCGATTCCCAAAGACTATATGGACTTTACCGTAAGACTTTCCCCATTCTCCTGCGCTGGGACAGACACTCGGGAACCACGTCCAATAATCACTATAACAACTGAACCGCAGCCCCTGTTTGTTGAGCGCTCGGCGCACGCCAAGCCCCGAGCAGTAGGTCCCAGCTGGAGGCAGCCAGGTGAGCGGTCCCGCGGGTGCGCGGGCTACACGCGGTCCGGGACAACCGGCTCGCTCTGCCTCCCCCACGCTCCACAGCTCCCGCTCCCGCAGCAGGGGGGCAGTCGTGGGGCGCTCCACGAGCATCCTAAGTGGCTTCCCTGGGGAACGCGGCAGGAAAGCGCCGCTCAGCGCCCACAGGGCATTTAAAGCGCGCGAATGTGCGCTGCGGAGGGTACGACCCCCCCGCCCAGGGTTCAAGGGCTTGCGCCCGCCCCTCGCCCACCCGGATCCCCGCCCACCCAGGCCTCCCCGCCGGCTGTGGGCCCCCGCGATTGGTCGCTCCAGGACGCGAATTCGAACGCTGGCCGCTGATTGGCGGAGCTCGCGCGGCCGCCCCGCCTCCTGGGCCGGCCAGTGCGGGGGGTCCCAGAGGAGCGCGCCTCTGGGCCGGAGGGCAGGGGCATGGGCCTGGCCTCGCCCAGTGGGTCAGCCGTCCCGTGCAGGTGGCTGGAGGCTGAGGGCCCGAGGGTTCTCCTGGGACGCGCCGCGCCCGGCCTGGTGCCTCGGCCGGCCCTGGGCCTGCGACCCCGCACGGCCTCTCCTCCCCGCCGCGTGCTTCAGGCGGAGCCCCCGGTTTGGCGGCCGCGGCTGTACCTTCTTCCGGAGAAGCGGAGTTCACTGTACCCCGCCCCCTCCCGTGCCCCAGGACAAGCCCTCGCCCCACTTTACCGGATGCCGTCCCTTCTTTCCCCCGTCTCTCCTCCCCGCCTCCTGGGAACTCTTCCCGAAAGGGAAGTCCACATCTGCTTGCTTCACGGGCTGCAACCAGCAGCAGGCAAGCGTCACACTCGGCTCCTTCAGGACCCAGCTCACATCCCACCTCTTTCCTGAGACACTCTGTCAAGAGAGGACCTGCCCTCTCCTGGGGAGTGTTGGAGGGAGGACAGAGTGGCTTTTCCTACAAAAGATGGGGCGTGTGAGCCAGGGCTGTCTTCTCCTCTCATCCCACCCCCATCGCCCCACATCCCTCATGCTCGCTGAACCTTTTCTGGGTACTTGGCCTGTGCTGGGCACAGGATAGGAGCGGTGGTTTCCAGGCTCCGTGACAGTCTGGAACAGGAGACAAATAGACGACCACGACGCTGGGCGTAGGAGAGTCCCAGTGGCCCCAAAGACACAAGGGTGTGAGGCCCTGGAGGCTGGGACTCCGGACAGGGGAGGAGGAGGGGGCAAAGTAGACAGAGCTGAGCCAGCTGGGACCTGTTCTCGATGTTCCACCTTCTGCACAAAAGGAAAGGGAGGAGACCACCGCGAACCCCTCAGGTTTCTCATCCCTTTATCACACCTCTGTCTTCACGGGTTACTATTTCCCTACTTGTTGCTTTGTCTTCCTGCACCGTGTTACTTTGTTACCTGTCTACCCCCAGGGCAGAGGTACACTTTCAGTGTTGGCTTTTGGTAGCACCTTGAAGGGATTAATAAACCAAATCCAACAATGAGCGAGCCCGCCACAGTGACTACTCTCACCCTGCTGTGATACTACATACTGGAATCTATGACAGCATCCCTGGTTACTCCAAGTCCCTTGGCTGTCCTTTATCTCGTTCTTTGTGTCCTAGTCATTCCATCTATGTTTCAGGAAACAGCTGTTCTCTTTGATGCAAGCCGTAGGTTAAGCTGCAGCCATGCCTGCCCTACCCCACCTCTGCACAGGGTCTCTCTCAGAGACTCTAGGGCCAAGCTGGGATAATGAGCTATTCCTGGATGGTGTGAGCCAAGCCCATTTCCTGTTGGGCTTCAGGAGGGTGAGGGAACTCGCTGGAAAAGCCTAGATTACTGGGACCTCAGGGAAGTTCCTGGCAGAATAAAGTGGCAGTCTAAGGCCTGGCGGTGAATGAGAGAAAAACTCAAGGGTGGCAGGGTCCAGAGGGTAGAGTAAGGAAAAGCGAGATTAGGTCAGGAGCCTGAAGGACCCACCATTCAGAGAGAGGAAGAGGAACCTTCAGAGGAGGCAGAGGGCAATGGAAGAACGAGAGCCGAACGTGGTGGGCAGAGGCCCAGGAAGGGGCTTCATCACAGGCAGCAGAGGACATTGTGAAATGCCACAGAGCAGCCACCTGAATAAAGGACTGAGAAGCCAGTGGGTGTGGCGAACAGGGGTGTGTTGTTGCTGCGAGGGGCAGTAGGAAGTGTGGGCAAGGCCTGTGGGTGACACTTTCTGGAAGCTTGTCTGAGAAGGGGCAGATAATGGCATCTGCACTACCCAGGGGGAGCAGAGGAGCCCGTGGCAAAAGGAAGGGTGACCTTGACAAAGAGAGAAAGGTTATCTGATGGAGAGCATCTCAGAGGAGAGGAGAGTGGCCACATGACACAGGTGCACAGCCACATCCATCATCATCCAGATGGTGCAGTGGTCTGGAGCACATGGGACCTTCACTCAGTGGTTCTCACACTCAAGCTGCCTCAGAAATGCCTGTGACAGGGCTTTTGATTGAATAGGTCTGGGACGGGGCCCAAGAATCTATTTTCTTTACAAGTTTCCAGATGCTGCTGATGCTGCTGGTTGGGGATCCAACTTTGAGAACCTCTGCCTAAGTCAAAGCTTGGCTGCACTACCTGTTGACTGTGGAAAGTTGCTGAATATCGCTGTCTCGGCTTACTCCTCTGGAAAATGGGATAACAAGCCTGTCCACTTCATGGGTTGACACAGGATCACATGCAGACCCACCCTAACATTTGCAGGAGCCAGGGAAGAGAAAATGAAGGCCCACAAATCCATTCAAATATCGAAAAACTGTGACTTGGGCTAGCAAACTTATCAATATGTTCTCTCCTCCTAACTTCAGAAGAACAGTGTTATTACAACTTGGGAGGCCAGGTTCGAATTTAGAATCTGTGGATTCTATGAAGCTCCACTCTTGAATGTGGTGTCACATGGGAAGTCAGCCCCAGCCCTGGTCTGTGGTTGCCCCCTTCTCTACCATTTCTGGCTCCATCCTGCTTGCCAAGGGGTCTGTGTGCACCTGTGTGGACACCCCCATGCATGCATTCAAACTCTACCCTCAGTTCTGCAGATAGCTGCCAGCCTTGCTGCACCTCGGGTCTCGGGATGCGTGGAGGTGGCATGGCCTTCCCTGGAAGGAAGTGCACTGCATGGGCAAACTGCCTGGGCAGGGGATTCTGGAGAAAACTCCCTACCCATGGGCAAGGGCACAGCCATGGTGTGACCCTCCACCGTCATAGGCCCAGGACAGGCCCCTCGTGCCTGCATCCAAGATGGTTCGGTGAAATGACATGATGCATGCTGAGCACTAAGCACAGAGCCAGCATCAGGCAGGGTCCTGGTTACTACTGTGGCCACCCCCTGGCCACTGCCCTCTGAAAGGACATGCAAGGTGTTCCTCTGAGGCTGCTTCAATGGCCAGGTCTCAACAAGACCACAGGCTACCCAGGTGGGACTCAGGGGCATCCCCTTCTACTGAAATGCACCTGGGTTCTCCACCAGGCCTCTAAAGCAACAAGCCCCACTCTGCTCTGCACAGCACAGTCTGGGCCCTGCCTGAGCTTGGTGGGCTGCCTTTGTAACCTCTTGCAACCTATGGCAGGCCATGTACACCTGGGCTAACCTGGCACTAGGATGTCTTTATTACAGCAGGACAGGCTCTGAGGGAGGTGGTGAGGGAAGTGAAGGAGGTGAGGGAAGCCCAGGGGGAGTTGCTGAGGGTGATGAGGGGCCTGCTTGCTCTGCTTGCTCTTGCTGGCCTGCTCCTTGGGTGGGAGGCACAGGACAGGTAAAGCTCAGGAAAATGTCCTCCAGGGAGACCTGGTTGACTGAGTAGTCGTCCAGCATGTACTTTCTCTTGGCCTGCTCCAGAATGCCAAACACCTGTGGGAGGGAGGAGGCTGCTGTGGACAGGCTCACCCATGGGCCAGGCAGGCAGGGGAGAGAGGATGCAGGGAGGGTGGAAAGAGTCCCGGCCCCTGGGACAAGGCTCCTAAGAGGCCCATTCCTCTCTCAGGTGCCCCAGGGCATCTCCCAAGAAGTCAGTCCTGTGGAACTCAGCTGTCTGTGTTCTTGGGCTGGGAACGGTGCCAGAGGGCAGAGGCCCTGGGTGGGTCATCAGGTTGCTGTGTGACCCTGGGCATGTGGCCTCTTCTCACTGGACCTACTCCCCTCTCCAAGTGAGGGGGAGGGAGTAGTTGATTTCTGAGGTCCCTTCCAGCTCAAACATGTTATGTTCTATGAAATCCACATGAATGTTGCCATGGAGATGTCAGAGGAACTGCAGCAATACCAAATGTGACTTCTACCAGGGGAGGGGTGAGGAGGAACTGGGTCACCCCAAAAAGCAGGTGACAACATCAGAGGTGAGCACTCACCTTTGCCCAGCTGAGGTCACGGCCGGGCAGGTGGTAATGGACCATCCCTTGGTGCTCATCTTCCAGGACGCTGCCTGCATGAAGGGGAGACTGTGTTACTATGAGAGCTGGACTGGAGGGTCAGGGGAGGGTGGCCTGGGCACAGAAGACCAAGGCCTTTATCCCAGGGGTCGGGGATGTGGGACGTGGCAGGGTGAGACACAGATACCCTCTGCACAGCAGCTGGAAGAGGCCCAGCCAGGGGCCTAGGGCCCACCCAGTCGGGGCTACTAGGGCCAGCACACACCTGGGAAGGTCAGGTCCATAAACGCCTTGAACTCCTCCAGTATCTCCTGCTGCCCTTCGCTCCGGACCTTGGCCCGCAGGGAGTAGCTGCTGCCAAATTTGCTCTTGAGGTGCTGGGGGCTGCCCAGGCACTTGAACTGACCCTGCACCATGATGGCCAGCCGGGTACACAAGGCCTCACACTCCTCCATGCTGGAGAGAGGGGAGGAGGCTGAGACAGGGCTGGAGGAAGCTGACACCCACCCTGAGTGTCAAAGGCTTTTGCAGATAAGAAGGTGTTGATGCCCAGATCAGGCCATTCCTGATTCCCGTACTCAGAGTGTGACCCATATGCAGAACCTTGGGAATCTCCTCGCAGACTCTGCACCAGCTGCTGACATGTCTTCTGTCCACCTGGCCCCCGAGCCCACCACTCCCACAAGCCCCAGTTCCGGCTCTTCCATAGACCCACAGAGACCCAGGCTCTACCTGTGGGAGGTGATGACGATGGCCTTGCCAGACTCACGGGCCCGTCCCATGGCATTCCAGAGCAGGCGCCGAGCCACAGGGTCCATGCCAGTGGATGGCTCATCCAGGAAGATGACCGCAGGCTCTCCGATCAGGGCAATGCCAGTGCTCAGCTTCCGCTTGTTACCACCGCTGGGGGCAGAGTGGGAGAAGGTCAGGGTGAAAGGCAGTTTGTCAGTCTCCAGTAGTGAACCCTGCTGGTCCCAACACCCACCCCCTTTCCTTCTCTGTTCAGGAAAGAATCCCTGAATACAGCCCTGCTGGGGCTTTTAGAAATGCAGCTCCACCACTTTCACCCAGGGCTGAATTGTGACTTGGTCTGTCCACTCGGGGTATGACTCATTCCCCTGGACACAGGGATCAGTCCAGGGTGGGCTCCTGGCCAATGAGTCTTCTTTGAGGGTCTCTGTGGGTGCTGGAGGGGAGCGTTTCTCCTCCATCTGAGAGTAAGAGCATAGGACCATTTTAGCTCACTTTTTTTTTTAACACTTATATAGCATTTACTATGTGCAAGGAACTGTTCTAAACTTTGCTAATTTAAACTCATTTGATCTTCAAAAGATGCAAGCAAACATAAGACCTGCTTGAAACTGAAGCCAACAGAGATGGAAGAGCCAAGGACATCACCACCTGACTCCTGGGCCCACTTTGCCAGAGGTGAGACGTCCCAATCCCGGGTTGCAGTACCGCCGTGTACCCCCAGGGGGTGTGCGGCCTGGCTTTGTTGAAGCTAATTGAGATTGGGTTTCTGTCAGTGGCAACAGAGGCTTGAGAGACACCCCAGGCTCCTCAGCAGAACTTCAGAGGTTCAGATGCCCCAGACACAGTGGGATGCAAGCCTACCCAAAACAGGAAGCCCTTCATGAAGTTACCCTGTCAGGACTGGATAACACCTGTGGTGCTATCTGCCTATCCTCAGCCTCGGGCCTAGGTCAGCCCCATAATCCACTCTGGAGCCCAGGACCAAGAGGGAGTGGTGCCTTGGGGCAGCCCAGACTACTGACCCCTTCCTACAGGGGACGGAGGCCCCTCCAACCACCTGCCCAACTACCCCTCGCCTGGAGCTGATGGGCTCTGCCAACACTCCAATACTGAGAAGAACCGGAACTCATCCTGTAACTGGAGGTGGAGAGCTCAAGGGAAGCCCCAGGCCTCACCTGTAGGTCTTTACCAACTTGTCGGCGTACGTGTACATGACTAAGTCTTCCAGAATCTGGTCCACACAGGCACTGATGTGGCGCTCAGGGATGCCGCGAATCCGAGCATACATGACCAGCGTCTCTCGGCCAGTCATGAAATTCAGCAGGGCATCAAACTGAGGACAGTAGCCGATCCAGTGCCGCACCTGGGGTTAGGAAACAGCTTGGAGAGGGAGGCACCTCAGAGGGAAGCCTCCTCCCGCCAGGTTTGACAAGCCTCCAACTAGGCAGGGGGCTGGACGCCTGCCACGCCTTGCCCCAAGATCCTGCCTCTGCCCTGTCAGTACCCACGTTTGCTACATGAACAGACGCATGCACCAAGAAGGGGCCATGAGTGCATTAGGGAGCCTGGGACGCAGCCCTTGCTGGCGGTGTCCATGAACAGCCGTTTCTGGAGGCACGTGGGGTGGAGTCCTTGCCTGCCTCCTTCTGCCTTCCTAGTGTGAGACCTCAGTGCCCTGCACCTCCCTACTTTGTGGTCACCTTCAGTGGGTTCACTCAACAAAAAACACTTGCTTCCCCCGCCCCCCTTTAGAAATATTTTCTAGGTATATGTAATCCGTAAATAGATTTTCTTTGTAAAATATTCACACAAAGGCTGCTGGAGTCTCTGTTGGGGGCCTACCCCAGGCCCCATGTGGTCAGGTTGGTATGCACTCTCCAGGCTTCTGTGTTAACACAGGCACTTACACAGATGTATGCTCTCTGCACTGGACCAATGGAGAGTTGTTTTTGCCAAACAGTATCATCCCATATTTACCATCCTGCAACGTGCTTTTCCTTTTTTAAAAACATATTTTATTTTATTTTGTCAGTATACAATGTGGTTGATTGTTGTGGCCCATTATGCAACGTGCTTTTTTTTTTTTTTTTTTTCTTTTTGTCTTTTTTCGTGTCCGGCAACGGATCGCAACCCTCAGTGTCGTGCCCGTACCGGACTGGGACCGGCAATGGGATCGCAACCCTCAGTGTTGCACCCGCACCTCGCTCAGCCAGTGAGCGGGAACCGGTCTGTATGTGGGATCCGAACCCTCGGCGGGAGCGTCGCCGCACTCCCAAGCGGCGCACTGTAGCAGTGCGCCACCAGGCCGGCCCGCAACGTGCTTTTCTAACTCAACATTGTATCTTAACAATCTTCCTAGGTCAGTAAATACGGACCTACCCCACTCAGTTTAACTGCTACTTAGTCATCCAGGGAAGGTTTCTGGATTTTACTTGGCTGTTTAAAAGATTCAGGCACATCTGAGTTATTTCTAAGTTTCTGCCATTATAAACTTGCAGCTAGCCACCTGGTCTGTGCCCATGTTCACATGCTCTCCCCCCATCCCCGCCCCAGGAGAGGCTGAAATAGTGGGATACTATTTTTGAAAAATAACCAGTTTTTTCCTTCTTTTCTCCTCTCCATTCAAGTAGCTGGACACCCTGGGCTTTACTGCCCGGGGATGGAGAGTGGGGAGGATTTGACAGGGTGTGAAACAGAAAACCACCTGGAGTGTCTGCTAGGGGAGGACAGGGAAGAGAGAAGGCTGTCAGCATGGAAGAATGTTTGTAGAGACCACACACAGCTAAGGGTGGGCATTGCTTCCCAGAGTGAGGCTTCCCCGAGTGAGGCTTCCCCTGAAGACAGATGTCCCCAGGCCTGAGGGAATTACTGAGAAGAAAGACACAAGTGACTGGAATTGAGGATGCTTCAAATATTTCACAACTAAATATGAAGATTTTTAGGGCCAGCCAGTTAGCTCAGTTGGTTATAGTGTGGTGTTATAACACCAGGTCAAGGCTTTGGATCCCTGTACTGGCCAGTCACCAAAATAAAAAAAAAAAGATTTCTGGTAGATTACCTTTATCAAGTTATTTTAACTTAATGTTTCTTCTATTTCTAGTTTGCTAAAAAATTTTTATTTATTTTTATTTTTTTTAAAGATGACCAGTAAGGGGATCTCAACCCTTGGCTTGGTGTTGTCAACACCACGCTCAGCTAGTGAGCCAACCGGCCATCCCTATATAGGATCCGAACCTGTGGCCTTGGTGTTATCAGCACCGCACTCTCCCGAGTTAGCCACGGGCCAGCCCTGCTAAAAAAATTTTAAACAGTGAGTAGGTACTGAATATTTGTCAAATGCTTTTTTAGCATCTATTGGTAAATGTTTTTCTCCTTTAATTTATGAAGATAATGATTTACATTGGTAAACACATTATTCTAGGTAGGTTGTTAACTCTTGTATCACTCATGATGTTTTGTCCCATTGTCTTCTGGCCTCTATCAGCTCTGTTAGGAAGTCAGCTGCCAGTCTATTTGTTGCTCTGCTAAAGGTAATCCACCTTTTATCTCTGCATCCTTTTAAGATTTTCTTTTTGTGATTGCTTTTTAGCAGTTTCACTATAATGTTCCTAGTGATTGATTTCTTTTTATTTATCCTGCTTAGGATTAATAGGGCTTCATTTATTCATAATTTGATGTCTTTCATAAGTTTTGGAAAGTTTTAGCCATTATGTTTCCAAATATTGCTTTGCCTCTCTTCCTTCTGGAACTTCCGTTACACACACATTAAACCTTCTCACTGTATCTTCTGTATCTGATTAGTTATATGTTGCTGCATAACAAATTATTCCAAAACTTAGCTGTAATTTACTATTTCGTGGTTTCTATGGGCCAGATCAGGAATCTGGGAACATCTGAGCTGGGTAGTTCTGGCCAGGGTTTCTCATGAGGTTGCTGTTAACCTGTCAGCTGGACAAGGCCTTTTGAAGACTGAAGGATCTGCTTCCAAGATCACTTACCTAGCCACTGGCAGGCCTCAGGTACTTACACAATGCTCCTCTCTATGTGGGCCTCTCCACATGATTATCTCCATGATGTGGCACTTAGCTTCCAGCAGAGTGAGTATGATTAATTTTATGTGTCAACTTGGCTGTGCTAAAGGATACCCAGATGGCTGGTAAGCATTGTTTCTGGGTGTGTCTGTGAGGGTGTTTCTGGAAGTGATTAGCATTTGACTCAGTAGACTGAGTAGAGATCTGCCCTTACCAATGTGGGTGAGTATCATGTAATCTGTTGAGAGCCTGAATAGAACAAAAAGGCAGAGGAAGCATGGATTTGGTCTGTTATTGAGCTGGGACGTCCATCTTCTTGTGCTCTTAGACACCAGTGCTCCTGACTCTTGGGCTTTCGGACTCAGAACAGGCCTCACACCATCAGGCTCCCAGTTCTTGGACATTTGTGTCTGGACAAGAGCTACACTGCTGGCTTTCCTGGGCCTCCAGCTTGTGACAGCACATTGTGGAACTGCTCAGTTTCCAATTTTGCACGAGCCAATTTCTCATAACAAATCTCTATGTATTGATATATGTACTATATATGTTATTGCTTCTGTTTCTCCACAGAACCCTGATAATACAGTGAGTGACGTGAGGAAGAGAGTGAACCCAAACCAGAAACTGCAGTTTCTTTTATGCCCCAATCTCAGAAGTGATGTACCATCTCTTCTGCGGTATTCTTTTGGTTGCACCCACCAGCCTTTGTACAATATGGGAGGGTACTACTCAAGGATATGAACACTGGGAGGGTGATTACTAGGGGCCATCTTGGAGGCTGTATACCACAATGTCTCTTACCCTCTTGTATATTTTCTGCCCTTTTGACCCTGCATGCTTCATTCTTTTTTTATTACTATTATTATATTTTAAATTTATTATTAGCATATTCATTCTACAAATCATGATATTTCTTTATGCCCTGTACCCGACCTATCACTCCTCAAACCCCCTCCCTCCCTGCATGCTTCATTCTAAAAAATTTTTTGGCAGGGAAAGTGTGTGTGCGTGTATGTGTGTTATCTTTTATCCACATATACCTGGTTATGTTTTATTGAGTACCAAACATTACATTTGAAAGATTGTTTGTAGAAACCATTTGAGGCCCAGGGTGATATCATCTGTCTCCGGAGAAGATTTTCATTTGTTTCTGCTACATGCCTGGGAGTGCTGGCAGTTTAGGGTCACATCAATCTCATTCCAGAAACTGATAGGAGTCCATGCTGTTTTGCAGTCATATAAGCTTGTACAAGTATAGCTCATCCCTACATCTGGAGTACAGCCCTTCAGGGTCCCAGTTCAAAGAAAGGATGCATTCACCAGGTGTCCCCTGCCCCTGGTGAGCCTAATCCCTGTCACTTCAGCATCAAGAGCAACATTAGCTCTCAGCCACCTGGCCTTGAATTCATCACCTCCCTGGGCCTCTGTCATCTACAACTGCCTGGCCCAGTAAATCTTCACTATCTTGTTAGATTTGTGAAGACTTCAAACAGATGTTTTTAATGTTTGGTCCAGTTTTTCTAGTTATTGGCAGTAGAAGGGGGGCTGGAATTATCTAGTTAGCCATCACCAGAAGACCCTGCCCATAATTTTTTAAGTAATAAAAAGTTAAAATTAATAGTAAATGTTTTACAGCCATGAAAGGTTTATATTGATTATAACTGTTAAGCCAAGCTATGTATACCAAAAGACCACACAGAGTGCAATTAAAAGCATGAATTCTGGAACTCGTCTGTGTAGGTTCTTCTGGTATATCTCTGAACATTGCCCCAGTTATGGACATTGAGGCTGGTTAGATGAATTTCTAGACAATAGTATGGCCCGCATGTGTCTCTGCTGTGCAGAGTCCACTTTGTTGATGTCTCTGCAGTTTGGTTTCTTCATCTTCCTGCCACTGGAACCTTCCACCCACTGCACTCCCTGTGGCTACACTCACCTCACTGCATGGCAGCTGTTATTCTCATGATCACGTGCACCTTGCAGGTGAGGAGCACTGGGCCTAGCACAACTATTGGTATATACGAGGCATTCAAAAACTGGTGCCAACATTGAGATAGAGACTCCAAGAAGGTGGTCAGGTTAGAGGGGTAGATAATGAGTTCAAGTTTAAGGTGTTTGACATGTCAGAGTAGGGCTGGCAGGAAGGCGTCTGTATGCAAGTCTGAAGCACAGGACTGGAGCTGGACTGGGGATGTGGCTCCTTGGAAGACATCAGCAAACCGATGGTAACAGGAGTCAGAGTGGTGGGTAAGATCAGGTAGGACGGTGCATGTAGAATGAGAAAGCGGCTGGTGATGCGGCTCCTGCGGCACACCACAATCTAATAGGCCAGATGGAGAAGCAATCTACCAGAGGAGTCTGAGAAAGAAGCGTCCGTGACAAAGAAGAGCCAGGAGGGAGGGGAAGCTATAGGAGCAAACAAAGGAAGGCAAGAGTGTGAAGGAGGAAAGTGCTGCAGAAAAGTCAAGTAAGATCCAGACTGGACATCACGAGGCGCCCCTTGACTGGGGTGAGTGTGGGAGGAATGGGTGCAGAGAGGACAGATTCAGGGTTGTTTGGGAGGGAGCATGTAGCAGATGTCCTGGGCGGTGCCTGGAAGAGCAGGTGGATGTGGGCCACTCACCACTCCCCTCCCAGGAGCACAGGGGGAGGAGGAAGAGGAGGTGGGAGGAGGGCATGGGACTCTTCTGGGGCCCTTTGAGTTTTGGGTGCCTGTGGAACACTCAAGAAATGACACTGAGTAAGTAGCTCAATGCATGATCTGGGGCTCAGGGAAGCAGTCCAGGATGGAGCTGTGGGTTTGGAGGTCACGGATGAAACTGACACATGGAACTTTCAGAGATCAAGTCCCATTCCTGTTCCCTTTCCCTGAAACCTGTGGAGCACCCCCACGTGTGTTTCCAGGGCCACACCTACCTACCTGCCTTACATCAGCGCTGATGCTGAGGCCCTTGACAAAGGCATCCCCAGAGGTGATGGGCTTCTCCCCCGTCAGCATTTTGAAAATAGAAGTCTTCCCAGCACCATTGAGGCCAAGAAGGCCAAAGCATTCTCCTGCTTTAATGGTGAAGGACACCTTGTTCACAGCCAGCAGGGGCACCTTCTTGACATAGATCTGAGAAACACAAGACCGGAGGTGCCGTCAGGGGGCCGGCAGTCAGCAGTCCGGGAGTGCCCAGAGCTCACTGCACGACGGACCGACCGACCGTTCTGGGACAGATCTGAGCTGCCATGAGGCTCAGGCTGGGACCCTCCCTCTCCTCTCAGTCACTCCTCCTCTGAGCAGGATTTAGTATGGTCTTCTCTCCTCCAACTCTCCTGTCTACTGGGCACTTAGCTCTCTAAAATAAGCCCTTCCCCTTCTGTTCCTGAAACAAACACAATCCCTTTGATGTTGCCTGAGGTTTTTTTGTTTGTTTGTTTTTTAAACCACCAGGGAAACTACAGGGAACTAGGGAAGCAAAAAGACTTACAAACTTGGGGGGCAATGTTAGAAAGCTCCTGGGTGTTTGAGGGGGTCTCTCAGTAAAACCCTCCCTGGGGCTATTGGGGAGACTAAGGGTTGTTTGACGCACCTCCACAAATTGTATTCTAGTTCCAGTGGAGGTTCACCCCATCATGTCCAACCTTCTAAACTTCCTTGCTACTTGGGTTCATGGCTCTGGTGCCCCTCCCTTCCCAGGCCCTGCTGTCTTCCAGCGGAGGGACCACAGAAAAGAAAATGGAGGTCTGAGTTTCTAAATTCTGCCTCTGGTTACCCAAACAGCTCTGATGTGATTCATTCACAAACAGGAAACCTGGCTCTGAGTCATTTGCCAATACTCCAAGCCTGCAGGCAGGGCCAGGAGCCCTCCAACACATCTATTCCTTATGCAAAGGACTCACAAGAATGTAGTCTTGATTTTCAGAGCCATGTCTGACTTTACCTTTGATATTTCTTTAACAACTAGTGGATTTTGCTCACACAGCTTTTCCAAATAAGCCTCGATAACGTTCGCCTCCTCTTGCACGTCTTTGTCTTCAGGTTCTAGTGCTACATTCCGCAACACTGCCTACACACCCAAGACAAAGAAGGAAAATGCAACTGTTTTTGCAAGGGTGGGAGGTAGAAGTTGAGGAGAACCACAAGGACTGGACGCTCCCTGGGAAGGCCTGGAAGGTGCCCCCACTGACCTGGTTCTCACACACACACACCCCCACCCCTATCTCAGGAGCAACAACAGGAGTTCAAGGCTGAATTCATGTTGACATAACCATAGTAGACATGGAAACCTCACGTGGTATCAACTTCTGAGGAAAACTAAAAGACTTAATGCTTGGGGGTGTTAAGAAATAACAAAATCCCATTTTATACAGAGTTTCTGTGGGGGGCATTGACCTCTGGAGGACATTCAGACCAAGAGCTGACAGAACAGACATTTTTCCCGCCTGGATCATGGATGGCTGTAGGGAAGAGGCATTCCAGAAGGTTTTAGAAAACCTAGGATCTTGTTTCTACTTGGCTGATGAGCAGGCCCTAAAAGTACCACAGAGGACCAGCATACTGACCAAGGTTACAGGGGCTAGACTCTTCCTCCCTCTCTGGAGGTCCCTGGGCATGGGCTGCCACCTCTCTGCTCTGAGGTGGATCAGGTGGTCTCCAGGCTCCCTCTGATTCTGAGAATCAAGGCAATTGCAGACCACAGGAAGGAAGCTATGGAGCCAGGCCCCTGACTTGTCTTTAGGCTTATAGTCCGACCCACTCACCAAACTTTCCTTGCTGCCAAGGTCAGAAAACCTGGTTTTCAGTTTCCAGAATATATTGCTTTCGACAAGGAAAAGCAGGATGATGTACACAGGTCCCAAGATCGCCAGAACTGTTAGGTACTTCCCCATCCCTAGAGACTCCCAGGCATAGATGTCCTTTTGGATCACATATCCTTCTGCTAAAATGGGATAAACAGATTTTTATCAAACTTCGGGTGATTTTCAAAGCTATTCCTCACCTTTACATACAGTAGGTAAATTCCTATTACAACAAATATCAGTTAAAAGAAGCATTATAGTTGTCAATGCTGCTACCACATCTGAGCAAATAGTAACATGAGTAATATTTTCTTTTCCTTGCTATAACCAATGTTCTGTAAAGATAATGCAATGAAGTAAAAGACTTCTCTCATGTTGTATATGATAGATATATATATGATTTTTCTTTGTCAATTAGAAAGATAAATAAAAGACCCCAGTCCGTATAACAGTTATTTGGAATACAAAATATTCATACGTTTCGATCTTCTATCAATTACTAATCACCCTGCAATTTCAGCTGACCACTCATGTAAAAAACACTCAGGAGTCTCTATTCTCTTTTTAATCTGATCTGCCTTAAAATTTTTTCTTTTAAATTCATGTATTTTAAAATTATACAATAAATATGCATTGACTGGAAAAAAGAGATATATATGAAGTAGAAAGTAAAGGTACTTTACTCCCCAAAACCATTACTACAATTTTGTGTAAAATCCTTCTGTGTTTTCTAGATACTACCTTTTAAAATAAAAACGAAATGATGCTATGCATTATCTTCTCCAATTAATTTGTTTCATTTAATATATAATGGACACTGACCACATCAAGACATACAGATCAAAAATAATTGTTTTTTTTTTTTCAGTACAATGGTCTTGGTCTTTTATTTTATATTTTTTACACCCATTATGCCATGAATTCATAGGGAATAGGTTCCAACAGCTCAGGCTCCCTGCCATTGGTTCTGACAAAGGTGTGCTTCTCTGGGTGGAGCAGGCTGGTGCTTCAGTTGAACCCAGGTTCCTTTCTCTTTTGCTTCCTTCTTTTTCTGATCATTTTCCTTCACATGTTTCAGGAAGCTGTCTCAGCTCTTAGAGTGCCTAATATGCTCAATATGCACATTAATTCTCTTGGCAAGAATCTGTTTACAACAATGCCAACAGCATGCTGGGTAACATTGTAGACTCTTCCAGTTTTACCATGGTCACATTTGTGGGGCATTCTTGTTTGAACAGTTCCCATTCTCTTGATGTCTACAATATCACCTTTCTTGTAGATTTGCATGTATGTGGCCAAAGGAACAACTCCATGTTTTATAAAAGGCCTAGAAAACATATTTCGGGTGCCTCTCCTCTTTCCCTCCATGTTCGTCATTTTGGCAAATTACTGGAAGATGGCAGTTCTGGCCAAAAGGCCAAAAATAATTCTTTTTGATGCCGATGCCTGCATCATTTTATATTGTATGTATGTACCTTAATTTGTTAACCAGTTTCTTTTTGGTGTACAATTAGGTTATTTCTATATTTTTACTTTTATAAAGCAATACTAAAATAAACATTCACACATATATACAAATTTTCCATCTTGAGGGAAATTACTTCTGCAAGATAAATTTCTAATTTCTTTTCTGTGGAGATTACTGCATCAAAGGACACACACTTCAAAAATTTAATAAATAGCGCCAAATTGTCCTCCAAAAAGTTTAATCTTATCAACATCCTATGAAAATGTCTATCTCCCATACTGTCGAAAACTCTCAGTATTATCCATCTCTAAATCTTTAGGTAAAATTAAGTGTATTTTCATATGATTATTGGACACTGGATGGTTTTCCTTCTATGAATAGTCCATTTATATCTTCTGCCCATTTTCTACTAATAGGTTGTTTATGTTTTCTCACTGATTTATAGGATGAATATATATATATATATATTTTACATCACTTAGTGGTTTCCAGGTTTCATGGCAAGCTCTGGAGGGTCTTCCATACCACAAAGTTATAAAACTATTCTCCTATATTTTCTTCTAGTTCTTAAGTTGTTTGTTTTTGATGTTTAAATATTTAACTAACCTGGAATATATTTTGCAAATAAAATAATAAAGCCCCATAATATTTTTTCCAAATGGACAGCCAACTCTCCCAGCACCATTTATTGAGGAGTCCATTCTTTTCTTATTGATTTTAAAATGCCATTTTTAACATTAATGAAATTTCTATATGCTATTGTCTATTCTTGTGAATTTGTCCTTCCAAATGAGCTTAAATATATAAAATACATTTTTTTAATTTGCAAAAATATACAAACTGCATAAGAAATTCAAACAATTTAGAAAGTACAAAATAAAAAATCACTCCATATCCCAACTCCACTGTCCTATGATAACTAATTACTGTTAATAGTTGGGTGTGTATCTTTCCAAGCTTTTTTACTAAAAATATATAAACATATATGTGTATTTTAGAAAAATGGAATCACAATGTGTATGCTTCTCTGCCTTCTGCAGATCTGTTCATAAACTCTCTATCTCATCTCAATGGTCCATTTATATATCCTTATGCCCATACCACATTGTCTTTATTACTGTAGCATTATAATAAGTCTTGATATCTGATGGAGTTAGTACTCCCTGCTTGTCCATCTTCTTGAAGAGTAACTTGGGTTTCTTGGATCTTTGTATTTCTGTATACATTTTAGAATCAGCTTGTCGTGGTTCATATGTATCCATGTGGGAAAAAAATGAAACCTGATGCATATATCTAATTGCGAAAGGCAAAAATACTATGGATGAATCTGGAGGACATTATGCTAAGTGAAATGAGCGAGGCACAGAAAGATAAATACCACGTGATCTCACATATATGTGGAATCCAAAAAAGTTGAACTCATAGAAGTAGAGAGTAGAAGGATGGTTACCAGAGGCTGAGAGGGTGGGGAGGGAGGAAATGGGGAGTTGCTGGTCAAAGGGTACAAAGTTTCAGACAGAGAGGAGAAAGTTTTGAGATCTATTGCACAGCAGGGTTACTATAGTCAATAATAATGCACTTTATATTTCAAAACAACTAAGAGTAAATTTCACGTATCTCAGCATAAAAAATGATGGTAAGTGAGGTGATGGATATGTTAATTAGATTGATTTAATCATTCCACATTATATACATATATCAAAACATCACATTGTACCCCATAAATGTATAACATTATGATTTGTCAATCAAAAAATATTGATTTTAAAAAGCCCATCTTATGAACATCTTATTAATTGAAATGAAAAGATGACATAAGAAAATTGTGGGAAACAGGCTAAAGCAGTGCTTTGAGGGACGTGTATACCATTAAATGCTTGTATTAGAAAAGAAAGTTCTCAAGTCAATAATCTATGCTTCCAGCTCAAGACACTACAAAAAAGAACAGCAAAATAAGCCTGAAGAAAGCAGAAAGAAGGAAAACATAAAGAACAGAAATTGAAATTAAAATAAAAGCAATAGAGAAAATCAATAAAGCTAAAAGGTGGTTCTTTGAAAAGAACAATAAAATCTCTCTAACAAGACTGACAAAAAAGGGAAGAAAATACAGCCAATATCAGGAATGAAATGAGTATATCACTGCAGATTCCACAGACATTAAAATAAGTACAAGGGAATATTATGAACAATTTTATACACATAAATAAGACAACTTAGCTGAAATTGACCAATTCTTTGAAAGGCACAAACCACCAAAGTTTATCTGAGAAGAAATAGATAAGCTGAACTATTAAAGACATTGAATTTGTATTTAAAAACCTTCCAAACAGAAATCTTTTGTCTTTTCAGTGAATGATGCTGGGACAATTGAATATACATGCAAAAGAATGAATTTGGGGCAGGCCCAGTAGCGCACCCGGTAGAGTGCGGCGCTTGGGAGTGTGGCGGCGCTCCCGCCGAGGGGTCAGATCCCATATAGAGACCAGTCCGCTCACTGGTTGAGCGTGGTGCGGGCGCGACACCGAGGGTTGAGATCCTGTTACCGGTTATGAAAAAAGACAAAAAGGAAAAAAAAAAAAAAAAAAAGAATGAATTTGGACCCCTACCTGACACCATATAAAAAATAAACTCAAACTGAATCACAGACCTAAATATAACAGGTAAAACTCTTAGAAGAAAAATAGGTGTAAATCTTACATATCTTGGATAAGACAATGGTTTCTTAAATCAAAAGCACAAGCAACAAAAGAAAAAAATAGATAAATTGGACTTCATCATAGTTAAAAGCTTTTGTGCATCAAAGGACACTATCAAGAAGGTGAAGAGACAACCTACAAAATGGGAGGAATAGTCAAAAATTATACATCTGACAAGGGTCTAGTATCCAACTGTATAAAGAACTTTTACAATTTAACAATAAAAAGGCAAATAACCCAATTAAAAATGGAGAAAAGATTTGACTAGACAACTCTCCCTAGAAGATCTACAAATGGCCAATAAAAATAAAGCACATGAAAAGATGCTTAACATCACTGATCATTAGGGAAACAAAAGTCAAAACCACAATGAGATATTAATTTAAACCCACTAGAATACCTATAATAAAAATGATTAAAGGAAATTAAGAAGTGTTGAAGAAGGGGCATAAAATGTTGCCACTAGACCTGCTGTGCTAAAGGGAGTCATATGACGCCATATGAAGAAATAAAGATCTCTAGAAAAGGTAAATATGTTGTAAATTAGAAAAGCTAGTATTATTGTAACTTTATGTTTTAGTTTGTTTCTGTTGCTTATAAAAAAATACACAGAACTGGGTAATTTATAAAGAAAATGAAATTTATAGCTTACAGTTTCTGAGGCTAAGAAGTCCAAAGTCCAGGGAACACATCTGATGAGAGCCTCAGTGGTGATGACAGTGACGGCAAGGTATCACATTGCGAAATGGTGGAGCAGAGAGAGCAAAGAGAGAGACAGACTCTCCTCTCTCTTCTTTTCAAGCCCTCAGAACCAAGCCCCTGACCACCATTTTTAATCCATTCACTACAACACGGTCTTACAACCCAATCACCTCTTCAAGGCTCCACCTTTCAGTTACCATCATAGGATTCCCACCCTCTTAACAGTCACAGTGGGTGCCAAGTTTCTCATACATAAAATTTGGGGGAAACAAAGCTTCAGTGAGTTTTGGGGGACATAATTCAATCCCATTACACTTTATAATCCCATTTTTTATTTTCTACATGATTTAAGAGACTAATGCATAGAAATGTTAGTCTGTATTTTTGGACATACACTCCATAAAGATGTAATTCTGTGACATCAGTAACTGAAAGAGGGTGGGGACAGGGCTCTATAGGAACATAGTTTTTGTATATTATTGAAGTTAAGCTGGTATAATTCAAATTAGAGTATTATAACTTCAGGATATTAAATGTAATATCCATGGAAACCACAAAGAAAATTATCTATAGGATATACACAAAAGGAAATGAGAAAAAAATTAAAACGTTTCATATGAGGTACTTAAATTCAGAGACAGAAAGCAGAAGAGTGGGTACAAGGGGCTGCAGGAGGAGGGAGTGGCAAGTTGCTGTTTAATGCTTCTCAGAGTTTCAGTTTTGTAAGATGAAGAAAGTTCTGGAGACAGATGGTGGTGATGGTTGTACAACCAAGTGGCGTACTTATTGCCACTGAACTGTACACTTAAAAATGATTAAAATGGTAAATTTTGTTATGTGTATTTTACCACAATTAAAAAAAATAAATAGGGGCCGAGCCCGTGGCGCACTTGGGAGAGGGCGGCGCCGCCGCGGGTTCGGATCCTATATAGGGATGGCCGGCGCTCACTGGCTGAGCGCGGTGCGGCTGGTCTCAAAAAAAGGACAAAATAAATAAATAAATAAATAGTTTTTTATAATGTTGGAGAGGATGTGAACAAACTGGAACATTTACACATTGCTGGTGGAAATGTAAAATGGTAGAGCCACTGTGGAAACTAGCTTGGAAGTTTCTCAGAAAGCTAAACATAGAGTTACCATACAACCCAGCAAATCTATGTCTAGGTTTATGCCCAAGAGAATTGAAAATATGTTCACAAAAAAACTTGTATCCAAATGTTCATAATAGCGTTATTTATAATATCCAAAAAATAGAAACAACCCACATGTCCATCAATAGACGAAAGGATAAACAAACTGTGGTATAGTCATACAATGGAATGATAATAAATAATAATAATAAATTAATAATAATTCAGCTATAAAAATGAATGAACATTGATACATGCTACAATAATGGATGAACCTTGGAAACATTATTCTAAGTAAAAAAAATCAAACACATAAGGCCACACATTGTATGATTCCATTTATGTAAAATATCCAGAACAGGCGAATCCATAGAGACGGGTAATAAATTAGTGATTGCCAGGAGCTGGGGGAAGTGGGGGATGGGGAGTGACTGTTAATGGGTATAGGGTTTCTTTTTGGGGTGATGAAATGTTCTGGAATTAGCTAGTGGTGATGATTGCACAACCTTATGAATATATCAAAAACCACTGACTTATAAAATTTAAAAGAGGGTGAATTTTATGTGAATTATATCTCAAAAAAATGTAATTAACAAATTCCATTTACAATACTCACAAACTTCATTGCACTGAGTCAAGTTCAGGTTCTTGGTATTGCAAAACTTCTGTAATTCGAAGTTGTAATATAAGTTGGAGAAAGCCATCCCCAGACAGTGGCCTGGAAGTATTAGGAATGTATGATCCAGTGACTCTGAGATCGTTGTGAAGCCTAGCTCTGTAAAGGGAAAAGAAAATATTAACTCTATTAGCAGGGAGAAAAGGGCACATCCTCTCTCATATCTCCTAACCCGCTGTGCCTTTTTATCCTGTGTCTATCACAATACCATCACACTCCCAGGGCTCCAGAGTAGAAACCTAGTACTCCCTGACTACTGGTTTTCCTTCTTCCTCTGGAGTCATTCAGCCTCCAACCCATAAGTATTTTGCTTTTGCTATGCTCCTTGAATCTGTCACTTTACTGTTTTTTTTTTGTTTGTTTGTTTGTTTGGTGGCTGGCCTGTATGGGGATCCAAACCCTTGACCTTGGTGTTATAACACTGTGCTCTTCCAACTGAGCCAACCAGCCAGCCCCTCTGTCACTTTACTTCTATTCCAAATGTTCATGCAGAATAATCAGAGCATGATCATCAGGAAAATGCAAATTAAAACCACCTGGAGATATCATCTCACCCCAGTTAGACTGGCTAGTATGAAAAAGAGAATAACAAATGCTGACAAGGATGTGGAGAAAGCGGAACCTTCCTACACTGTTGGTGGGACTGTAAATTAGTACAGCCATTATGGAGAACAGTATGGAGGTTCTTCAAACAACTACAGATAGAACTACCATATGATCCAGCAATCCCACTACTGGGTATATACCCAAAGGAATGGAAATCATCATGTTGAAGGGATACCTGCATTCCCATGTTTATCGCAGCTCTATTTACAATAGACAAGATAGAAAACCAACCTAAATATCCACTGACGGGCGACTGGATAAGGAAAATGTGGTATATATACACAATGGAATACTACTCAGCCATAAAAAAGAATGAAATTCTGCCATTGGCAGCAACGTGGATAAGCTTGGAGAAAATTATGTTAAGTGAAATAAGCCAGGCACAGAAAGAGAAATACCGCATTTCTTCACTCATAAGTGGGAGCTAATAAATAAAAAAGAAAGAAAGAAGAGAAAACAATCACAATAATGCATTGAACTTACAGAAGGAGAGAACAGAATTGTGGTTACCAGAGGTGGGAAAGGGGGAGGGGACTAGCGAAAAATTGATTAGTGGACACAAGGAATGATTTACATTTTGTAATGATGAATATGCTAACTATCCTGATTTGATCATCACACATTGTACACAGGTATTGATATTCAACTCTGTACCCCACAAATATGTATAATCAATTGTGTTTCAATTTTTGAAAAAAGAGAGAGAAAGAGCATGGTGTTTTTGGGAAAACCAGTGAGAGCATGGCTGCAGCATGGGCTACATCTGCAGAGGTGGTAAAGTTGAGGGCAGAGAAAGATAAGGTTTACAAAGGAGCTGGGGCCAGATGGAGCAGGGTCTAGTGGGTCAGCTTTGCGGTTGTTTGAGCATCATTTTATAGACAGATGAGGAGGACAAGGTCCTGGCTCTACTAAAACTATCGGTAAGAGTCCCTTAGGAGACAGAATGGCTCCGAAGTTAAAAGCAGAGGGAAGCTGTTAACTTATTCTTAATTAAAAACCAAAAAACCAACAACCGAGAAGTCAATTTGAAGGTGTTCAGCGTGAATGCAAATGAAAAAGAGTGTTACAGAGATAAAATATCAGCATGGCTATCCGACCCTGACCCAGAGAGCGATGGCACCACAAACACGAAGATGCCGTTTTAAGCCGTGTGGTGTGAGGCATGGCTTATTCTTAGCTTCTTTTACTGCAGTTTCATGCTCACCAAGCAGCCTTGCCCCAACCTTGCCTTACTTATCTATTACCTTTTTTATTGAGGAATAATATTTTTCAGTGAAATGTATGGATTGTAAGTGAACAATCTGATGAATTTTGAAAAATATATAAGCCCATGTAACCATCCCCCAATCAAAATAAGGAACATTTCCATTACTCCAGAAAGTTACCTAGAGTCTCTTTTGGTAAGCCCCCCTCCCCTAACTCTGAGGCACCCACTTTACTGATTCTGTCACCAGGATTTCCTATCTTTGATGGACTTGCCCACACCGCTGCTCGTCCATTTTAGTGTTGAGCAGTGATCCATTGAATATATACAACATTCTTCTGGATAAACACAGTCCTCAGATCACAGCAGCTGTGAATACTCTCTCTCACGTGTCTTTGGTGGACACACGATTTCATGGATACAACTTCTGCAGCTGCTGGAGGGAAAATTAAAGCTTTATGTGATATGTTGATGTGACGGTCCTCACCTTGTTCACCGGTGACTGAGACGAGAATGATAGGACCAATGCTCAAGAAGGTGAGCATTACGACAAGCTTAACACAAGCATTACCAGCATTGTCAAAGAAGAAGCTGACCAGATAGATGAAGGGGATAATGGCCGAGCCATACAGCATTAACATCAAGACAACCGCCCACATGTTTTCTTCGTGTGTAAAAGCTTCTTCCTTATAGTATAAAAACACCACCTTAGGAAAGGAGGGGTGGGGGAGAAATTGAAAAAGTCACTGAGAGTCAATCCTAAGCACTGTAGAAACAATCTGATAACCTCAGTTTTAAACATAAGGTGTTAACAATACTCCACAGGCACCTGCCTTCTTTCCCTCATCCTCCCCTGCAGAGATGAGCAAGCTCTAGGCTCTGCTGTCAGGGAGCTGTCCTGGAAATCAGTAAGCATGGTGCAGAGATGTCTACAAGATACACAGGCAGAACAAAGCAGGAAGTAAGCCATTCTGCATAAAATAACCCTGGGAACCCTCAAACCATTCAATTCAACTACAATCAGATACTTCCTGGTGAGCTATTCTTGGACGATAAACACATGCCCCCAAAGCACTGCCTCTTACTAGCTTGAGGCAGCAGTTTTGTGGATGTGACAAAAAGACCCTATACCAGGTTCCTTTGTTGCTAACAATGCTGGGAAATGAATCACTTTTTATCAAGGGTCAGTGATGAAGGAGCATTCACACCCTGGGTTCCCAGTCAGGGGCTGAGCTGCCAGCTTAGACATCCCAGCTAATTCTGGCTCTGCGCAGGGGTCCCCAGGGCAGGTGCCCCGTGTTCTGCAGGGGAAGGATCCCAGCACCGTCCAGCACTCACCACCAACAGCAGAGTGGGGATGAGGAAGGAGATGAGGTCCCACAGGAGAGCGGAGAGCCAGTAAGTAGCCACATAAACTCCACTGACAAACTGGACGTGCTTGGCCTTAATGCGTCTCTCTCTGACTGTCAACATGGAAAAAGAGCTAGACAGGAAAGCTATTCCAAAAAGCAAGTTGATAACAAGGTAATGTCCTTTAGGGCCCCTGTAAGACAGGACATGAGGAGAGAGGGAGCAGTTTAAGTAGAACTGCTAACAGCAACTGTCTTCCAAAATATTCCATTTGTAACTTAAAGAAGGAAAGAAAGAAAAGAAAGAAAGAGAGAGAGAGAGAAAGAGAGAGAGAGAGAGAAAGAGAGAGAGAGAGAGAGAGAGAGAGAGAGAGAGAGAGAAAGAAAGAAAGAAAGAAAGAAAGAAAGAAAGAAAGAAAGAAAGAAAGAAAGAAAGAAAGAAAGAAAGAAAGAAAGAAAGAAAGGAAGAAAGAAAGAAAGAAAGAAAGAAATAGGGGTAAAGCGAGAAGGCCTACAGAAGTGTGAGCTTTAACCTGGAGAGAAGAGAAGTCGCACATACTGGTACAAGATATTCTCCAACATCTCCATGGCTGACTGAGGCTGAGGGTGGTTGGTCACAGTCATGGAAGCCCTGGCACCAGAAAGCAATTTGAAGAGAAAATTGTCCACCAGAGCTAGAGCCAGGGCAGGGGAATGGTACGCCTCGTTGTTGAACAGTGCTGTCACTATTGTGTGGTTCCCCACGTCTTCAAAGGAAGCTGCCACTAGGTAGAGCCTATCAAAGTCCTCAGGGTCCTCATTTGCCTTTTTCAAAAGAAATTCATCTATAGAACCTAGAAGGAAGCAAAATGTCCACGAGGCAGTAATAATCATTGAGAGGGCATCACGCCAGGCCCAGCGGGGTGGGGAGGACCCTCCACTGGCCACCCCCAACCTGCTGCTCCTCCAGGGTCTCTCATCACCAACCCCTACCCATGTCCAAAAGCAGGTCTCCTCCTGCCACACCTGCCCTGAATTCCAGTCCATCTCCAAGGCTTGTCTATTCATATTTTAAATCTCTTTCAACTCTGTTTACTTCTTCTCTCCTTCCCACTGGCTTGACCAGGTCCAGGCCCTACCATCTCTGCTTGGACTATGTGGCCCCTAATGAAGTTCCTACCTTCTGTCTGGTACCTCCAGTCTGTATGAAAGGACACATCTGGTTGTACTACCCACCAATCAACTTGCAGTGACCCTCCACTGCCCTCATGATAAAGCTGAGTTCCTGTACATGGCGTGCAGAGACTATTTACTATCTAAATTCTCAGCCTCGTGTCTTTAAGTTCCAGCCACACCTAAGGGCTCGCAGTTGCCTAAGATCTTCCTGCTGTTTGGAATGTTCTTTGGCTACCTTCCCTTCTTTTTGCCATTTCCTACTCATATCTCAGGCTGGAGCCTACCCTCACCCTGCAAGGCTGAGACATGTTTAGGTGATCCCATGGCACTCCGGTCACAGTCATTGTCACTTTGTAAAGTAACTATCTACCACTTATTCGTAAGGCCTCTGGACTAGAAGCTCCTTAAAGGCTGGTAGCAAAACTGTTCATCACTGTATCACCAGCACACAGTGTCAAATATGGGACCCACCTAGAATTCTGGACTCTTTAGTGCTGCAAGGGACCTTCAATCACAATGACAACGATAATGACAGTACCACCAGGCACCAACAGTGCAAAGCACTCAGTAGGTACTCCCTCATGGAACCCTCCCACCCACACCATGGGGTCAGGTTTATTATTCTCCCCATTTGGCACATGAAGAAACCAGGGCTCAGGGAGGTGGGGCATCACCATACCAACCACTTTTGTTAAATCACATTCTGCATTTGATCTCTTTATTTAAAAAAGTAATTCTCTTAAATTTTTATTTAATCAAAATAATACATGAATATAATTTTAAAAATCAAATACTTAAACAAGAGTTATAACAAGAAATAGCAGTGCTCTGCACTATCCCTCACCATCCCCAGTGCCTGCTCACCAGAAGCAAGCCCTTTCAAATCTTTTAGCTAGTGTTTCTCCATATTGCTTAATGGCACATTTATCTGTTGACGTCTTATTATGAAAGCAAGGATTTTGTTTTCCTACAACCATCCCCAAACCCCTGAAGACTCCCCCCCCCTTCCTCCTGCTGAAGTTAAAACATAATTTTGGTTAAATCAGTAGTCAATTTTGGCATTATTATGACTAAGTAAAAATTATTCACACCTGAACCAAGTAGTATATTATGATGTATTTCTTTTTTGTACAAATTTTCCCCCTGAAGTTAATCATGTTGTCCCTTTTCTTGTTTGCTTAGTTTTCGTTATATCTATCATCAATTCATCCACAAAATCCCTTAATAGAAGTGTAAATCTCCTCTCAATACATTCAAAAATATCTGTAGTATTTGAATATCTGAATAGTATATCAACTTCATTCTTGGGCATGCTTTAACTCCTAGAAAGACACACTTGGTTTCATTTCTAGAAACCCTCACTTTCTTGTCCTTTGGGGTTTGAAAGATGTTTTTCTGAGACTTCTGGCTATTCAATCTCACTTCAGAGAGCACCACATAGCCCAGAAGGACACATCTTCACTACAAAGAACAGTTTGCTTCATGCCCCTTTTTCATGCACCTGTTACTTACCTGGGACCTCCAGAGGAATCTGTCCCTCAGCCACAAGCATACTTGCAAAGCGAGCTGAAAGGTGAGGATCCAGCCTAGAACTGTTAGAAATGAAGAATGGAACAATAGTGCGACCATATGTTTTCAGAGTCAGCTTCAATGGGACACTTTCCATGCTGCTTGCTTTATAGTTGAAAAATGTTAGGCTTAATATAATGATCACCAGAGGCACCAGGATCTGTATCGGTAACATCAACAACCAGTTGCGCCAAGAATATATAATCTTTTTCAGTAGCATGGCATAGAACTGCTGGCAGAGAAGACTGAACTACAATTAAAAAAAAAAAAAGGAGATACAGAATTAACATGGTCACAGATAGAAGTTGGCAGGCAATACTTAGGTGGCCCCTGGCTCATGTGCAATCATATTCCCTCATATTATGTCTAACTAACTTTTAAATTATATTCAAAATTTGCTTCAAGTTAAAATTCTGTGAACTTATGATTTGATTGATGTTTAATGGCAGAAGGAGAAGGCACAGATTGGAAAGCATCTGGAAGAGTAGCCAAAACAGAAACCAAATGTAAACATGGTACAATTTTTTTTACCTATGAGACTGGCAAAAATTTTAAATTGACGAGGCCATAGGGAAAATGCCACCGTTGGTGGGGTTTTAATTTGGTAAAACTAAAAAACAACATTTTTAGGAAACAAATTTTCTGGGTGAATAAAATTTAATTTAGTATACACATAATCTTTTTAAAATTGACACATAATAATTGTACGTATTTATGGGGCACAGAGTGATATTTTCATACGTGTACATAATGTGCAATGATCAAATCAGGGTAATTAGCATATCCATCACTGCAAACGTTTATTATTTCTTTGTGTTGAGAACATTTGAACTCCTCTCATCTAGCCATCTGAAAATATACAATAAATTATTGTTAATGAGAGTTGCCTAGCACTACTACAGAACATTAGAACTTATTCTTCCTATCGAGCTATAAGATTGCATTTGTTAACCAGTCTCTCACTATCCCCCTTTCTCCCTCCCTTCCCAGACTCTAGTAACCACAATTTTACTATCCACTTCTATGAGGTCAACTCTTAAAGCTGCCACATATAGTAAGAAAATGTAGTATTTATCTTTCTGTACCTGACTTATTTCGCTTTAACATAATGTCTTCCAGGTTCATCCATGTTGCCACGAATGACAGAATTTCATTATTTTTAAGGCTGAGTAGTATCCCATTGTGCATATATACCACATTTTTATTATCCATTTGTTGATGGACACTTAGGTTGATTCCATATCTTGGCTATTGTGAATAGTGCTGCAGTAAACATTGTGGTGTGGATATCTCACCTGTACTTGATTTCCTTTCCTTTGGATAAATACCCAGTAGTGAGATTGCTAGATCATACAGTAGTTTTATTTTCAGTTTTTTTGAGGAAACTCCATACAGTTTTCCATAATGCACATACTAATTCACATTCCCACCAACAGTGTACAAGAGTTCCCTTTTCTCTGTTTCCTCAGCAGCATTTGGGTTTTATTTGTTTGTGCGGTTTTTGTTTTTATGATGTTTTTGATAACAGCCATTCTAGCAGGGATGAGATATCTCACTGATGTTTCAATTTGCATTTCCCTGAATAGTGATATTGAGCATATTTTACATACTTGTTGGCCATTTGTAAGTCTTCTTTTGAGAAATGTCTATTCAGGTCATTTGCCCACTTTTAAATCAGTTTTTTTTTTTTTGGCTGTGGAGTTGTTGAGTTCCTTGTATATTCTGCATATTAATCTCTTGTCAGATAAATAGTTTGCACATATTTTTTCCCATTCTGCAGGTTGCCTCTTCACTCTGTTGATTGTTTCCTTTGCAGTTCAGAAGCTTTTTAGTTTGATATAGACCCATTTGTTTATTTTCGCTATTGTTGTCTGTGCTTTTGAGGTCTTCTCCATAAAATCTTTGCCCAGATCAATGTCTTGAAGCATTTTCCCTATATTTTCTTCTAGTAGTTTTGTAGTTTTAGGTCATACATTTAAGCCTTTATTTTTTTTTCCTTTTTGTCTTTTTTACTGACCGGTAACGGGATCACAACCCTCGGTGTTGTGCCCGCACCGCGCTCAGCCAGTGAGCGGGAACCGGTCTCCACATGGGATCCGAACCCTCGGCGGGAGCGCCACCACGCTCCCAAGCGGCACACTCTCCAGTGCGCCACCGGGCCAGCTCAAGTCTTTAATCCATTTTGAGTTTATTGTTGTATATGGCAAGAAACAGGGGTTTAGTTTCATTCTTCTGTATATGAATATCCAGTTTCCTCAGCACCATTTATTGAAGAGGCTGTCCTTTTCCCAGTGTGTGTTCTTGGTGTCTTTGTTGAAAATCAGTTGGACATAGATACATGGATTTATTTCTGGGTTCTCTATTCTGTTTCATTGGTTCATGTGTCTGTTTTTATGCCAGTACCATGCTGTTTTTATTGCTATAGCTTTAGAATATATTTTGAAGTGAGATAGTGTGATGCCTCCAGCTTTGTTCTTTTTGCTCAGGATTGCTTTGGCTATTTGGACTCTTTGGTGGTTATATATGAATTTTAAGATAGTTTTTTCTATTTCTGTCAAGAATGTCATTGGTATTTTGATAGCGATTGAATTGAATCTATAGATTGCCTTGGGTAGTGTGGTCATTTTGGCAATACTAATTCTTCCAATCCATGAACATGAGATGTTTTTTTTGTGTGTGTGTTCCCCTTTAATTTCTTTCATCAGTATTTTGTAGTTTTTGTTGTACAGATCTTTCACCTCCTGGGTTTATTCCTAGGTATTTTATTTTACTGGTAGCTATTGTAAATGGAACTGCTTTCTTGCTTTCTTTTTCACCTAATTTGTTGTTGGTGTATAAAAATGCTACTGATTTTTCTATGTTGATTTTGTATCCTGCAACTTTACTGAATTCATTTATCAGTTCTAAGAGTTTTCTGGTGGAGTCTTTAGTTTTTCTCTACATAAGATCATGTCATCTGGCATCACAGATTATTTTTGTTTTTGTTTTGGCAGCTGGCTGGTATGGGGATCTAAACTTGTTACATTGGTGTTATAAAGCTATGTTCTAACTTTATATTTAATTTGTTGAGAGTTTTTATCATGAAGTGATATTAAATTTTATTGAATGCTTTTCTGCATCTATTGAGATGATCATATGATTATTGTTCTTCATTCTGTTGCTGTGATGTATCACATTTATTGGTTTGCATGTGTTGATATGTCCTTGCATACATGGATAAATCCCACTTGATCATGGAGCATAATCTTTTTTTTTTTTTCTTTTTGTCTTTTTTCGTGACCAGTAACAGGATCGCAACCCTCGGTGTCGCGCCCGTACCACAACTGGCAATGGGATCGCAACCCTCAGTGTCGCGCCCTCACCATGCTCAACCAGTGAGTGGACCGGTCTCTACATGGGATCCGAACCCTCGGCGGGAGCGCCGTCATGCTCCCAAGTGCTGCACTCTACCGAGTGTGCCACCGGGCCGGCCCTGGAGCATAATCTTTTTTATATGCTGTTGGATTTGATTTGCTAGTATTTTGTTGAGAATTTTCACATTGATATTAATCAGGGATATTGGTCTGTAGCTTTCTTTTTTGTTGTGTCCTTGTTTGATTTTGGTATGTTTGGAAGAATTCCCTCCTCTTCAAATTTCTGGAATAGTTTGAGAAGAATTGGTGCTAGTTCTTTAAAAGTCTGGTAGAATTCAGCAGTGAAGCCACCTGGTCCTGGGCTTTTCTTTGTGGGGAGACTATTACTGATTCAATCTTGTTACTCATTATTAGTCTGTTCATGATTTCTATTTGTACTTGGTTCAGTCTTGGTAGGTTATATGTGTCCAGGAATTTATCCATTTCATCTAGGTTTTCCAATTTGTTAATGACAGTTGTTTGTGATAGTCTCTAATAATCTTTTATATTTTTGTGGCACCAGTTGTAATGTCTCCTTTTTCATTTCTGATTTTATTTATTTGGGTCTTCTGTCTTTTTTTCTTAGTTATTCTATGTAATGGTAAACTTTATCTTTTCAAAAAAAACCCAACTTTTGGTTTTGTTGCTCTTTTGTATTTTTTTTTTTTAGCCTCTCATTTATTTCTGCTCTGATTTTTCTTATTTCTTTCTGTCTACTAATTTTGGGTTTAGTTTGTTGTTGTTGTTGTTGTTTTGGTTTGTTCCTTGAAGTTCGTTTATTTTAAATATTTCCACCTTTTTGATGTAAGCTTTCACTGCTATAAATTTCCCTCTTAGTACTGCTTTTGTTGTATCCCATACAGATTTCTTGTATAAGTATGCAAAGTCATGCAGAAAGATGTCCCCTGCAGCAATGACAGCCAATGTCAAAATATGCAGTTATGTGTACTGAGATCCCAAGAGCTAAAGTCAGACCTGCTGGGGAGGAAGAACCTCGAGGTCAGAGCTGCAAACTCTCACTCAGCTTCTCTGTGGTCCTGCATGAGCTGGAGACATGTAGGAGGGCCCTCAAACCTCAGGTGCCAGTGTTCCTTATGCACACCTCTTAACCCTCAAGTCCTTGTGGGAAGAGGCTTGAAAGTTGGGTTTGAGTCAGGCATTCCTAAGTTCCTGGCCAAAAATATCAACAAAGCTCCTTAAGTCTCTACCAAACACTCCCTGAGTTTTTCCACACTCAACTTGATGGAGGCTACATTCACCTTAAGCACTCACCAAAAGGCATTGCTATTGACATGTCCAAGGTTGCACACTGAGAAATGCTTTCTGAAAAGACTCAGGAGTGTAGGGCCCCATCAAACCCCAAAGGAGACATTCCCTAAAACATGGCACCTTTCCGGCTTCTCTTCCAGGTCCTAACATTCCCGCTGGCGCCAAAGTATGGCCTATCAAAATCATCACCTGCCCTTCTGACCAATCAGCCACTGCCCCGCGTACTAACCACCCTCTCCCGGAACTCAGCTCTCTATAAATGTATGCTTCACCCTCAAATAAAGCGGAACTTCTCCGGTGAACTGTCAGCTCAGGTCCTGTCGTTCTTTCATTGGTGTCAAAACCCGGGAGGAGCTCACCCCTTACCCGAGGGGACTCCTTCTCGGACCTCCTTCACTCTCTCGGCGGTTCCCGCTGCTGACGCTTCGCCCTCGTCCATTTTCTCCGGCGCTGGCTTTCCGCATCCAACACCGGCTCATCCAAACGTAAGTCTCCCTTTAGAGGTGCCATTTTAAACTAGGACTACCCCTCTGGCGTCCAGCCCTAACAGGGGCAGTACGTCCCACTACGGCCTTCAGGGCTTCAGTGGATCCCTAAATACTCCCTCGTCACACCAGACCATACATATTCTACTCCTCTCCCAACCCAAAGTTAAAGGCAATCCTTGCAGGGAGAAGCTCCCATTCTCTTGCTTTCTCTTTCAATTTACTGTTTCTGTTTCTCTGAGCCCAGGGCTCCCAAAAATCCCGGCGCCGGGTTCCTTCGAGCCTCTGGGCACTTGCCCTTGCCGAGGTGATGGAAGGTTAAGTGACGACTTACACCTTCCTCCCTCCCGGTTCATCTCTGAACCTCCAGGACTGGCACATTATAGTGGGGACGCCCTCTATATTTGTGTCTTTCCCTCCCACCGGCCGAAAGATTCTCTCTTCTCCACCTCCCTACCTTCCTCTCTCCTTCCTGCCTGAACATGGGAGCTTCCCCCTCGTCACCTTTAGCGGACTCCCTCCTTCAATGTCTTATAAAAAACCTCAACACTTTGTCTTTAGAACCCGATATCAAGCCTAAGCTTCTTATAAAGCTCTGCACACAAGAGTGGCCCCAATACCAATTAGATAATCAAAACAAATGGCCACCGGAAGGCACACTAGACCCTGATATTCTCCGAGATTTGTTTAACCTCTGCCAGCGCCAGAGAAAATGGAAGGAGATTCCCTATGTTGAGGCTTTCCGCCTACTTGCCCCAAATCCCTCCCTCTGTCTTACCTGTTCTCCCTCCCAGGTTCTCCTCGCTTCCAAACCCCCTCTGTCATCACTGCCTCCATCATTCCCTACTTCTGATGGTTTTGACCCTGTGGACGAACCTCCTCCATACAGACTCCCTCCTCCTGTAGTTCCGTCTGCCCCCGAATCCCCACAACCCACTCCACCGCCATCTTCTTCCGCCCCGCCATTTTCTGCCTCACTGGCTCCACCGCCATCTTCCACCACATCTAACCCTTCCGCTCTTTCTCCTCCTTTAGTCCCCCCCTTACTCATTCTTGGGGACACCCCCATCCTCCACTGTGGCTCCTCTCCATGAAGTAGCTGGTGCTGAAGGGGTTGTTAGGGTACATGTTTCCTTTTCACTAGCGGACCTTACTCAATTAGAGAGAAAATTAGGATCACTTACCACTGATCCCACCATTTACATTAAAGAACTCCAATGGGTTCTCCAGGCCTACAGCCTCACCCACCATGACATTTAC